ATCATTTATTGAAAAACATTTCAGTAATACTGAAAGGCATTTGTATTATCCAGCTTGGGGCTACTACTAAAAAAGCTGCTATGTACATTCTTATCCATGTCTTTTGGTGCCACATATGTACACATTTCTGTTGGGTGTATACCGGAGTAAAACTGCTGATTATTGGGCACACTTTGGCAGATACTGCCAAAGGCCAGTTTTCCAAACTTGTATCAATTTACCTTCCCACTAGCAGTACATGAGTGTTCCTGATGCTGAACAACCTCACTAACGCTTGGTGATGTCCACCTTTTTCATTTTAGCCATTCTGGAGTTAGTGTAGTAGGATCTCACTGTGGTTATTTGCTTTACTCTGATGATTAATGATGTTGACTACTTTTTGGGCATTTGGAGATCATCTTTTGTTGAAGTATCTATTCAAATCTTTTGCCCATTTTTTTACTGGGTTGTTCTAAGACTTACAGGACTTCTTTTATATATTGATTTGTAGGAGTTATTTATGTATATATTCTGGATACCAGCTAGATACTGTATTGCAAATTATCTTTTCCTAAATTCTGTGGTTTGCCTTTCTACTTTCTTAATGGTGTCTTTTAATGAATACATATTCCTAATTTTAATGTGGACAATCTTTTTTTTCCTTCATAGTTAGTATTTATGTCCTAGTTCAAGTATCATGAAAATATTCTTGTATGTTTTCCTCAAGAGACTTTAATAAAGTAGCATCTAAAATGTATATTTTTGGGGCACCTGAGTGGCTCAGTCTTTAAGCGTCTGCCTTTGGCTCAGGTCATGATCCCAGGGTCCTGCTCAGCGGGAAGCCTCCTTCTCCCCCTCCCACTCCCCCTGCTTGTGTATCTCTCTGTCAAATAAATAAATAAAATCTTTAAATAATAATAATAAAATAATAAAATGTATATTTTTGAAATTCCCAGCACATCATGTATGTGTATATAAACAAATGAGCAAATTTCTATTCCAATAAGCAAATTTCTATTTCAGTAAGGAAGAACAGGGCAGAGGCATTATATTATTACTGCTACTGCTTCTTCAATACACATATCTAAAAACCACATCAATTACCAATTTTCAGAAGAGTACACCTAAGATCTTAATAAGATAACAGCTACAAATTCAGTATTTTATGGCTCAACTAACTGAAAGAAACAGCTAGATCTGGAAATTATGCAATTTTTCCTGAAATTTTAAAAAAAAAATCTCATTCTAGCTAGAGAAGAGTGGGGCAGAGAAGGGAAAAAATATATATGTATACACACATATTCTCACACACCCACACAACCTTACATTTTTTCCTTAAATGTTTTCCAATTTTCTTGCCCATAATTACTTATCCTTTTTCTTCCTGGTCTTGGAGAGAAAGGTTACCTTTAAAAAAAGAAGAAGAGGAAGCAGAAGAGCCAAACTTAAGAAAGAGTCTCAGTGAGATAGGAATCAAATTATTATGACCCTTTTATGAGAAGTAAATTTAGGAATTTCAATTCTGGGATGAGAAGTTGAAGGGGTTAAACAAAAGAATAGTCATTAAACCAATTCAGATGAGCAGAGAGTTTTTAAACCAAAGTCATCGAGTTTTCCTTAGTCTCCTATTTTGTACAAGCCTCAAAATAGAATCATGCTCCTCTTCCAAACATGTAGAACAGGAGGGAAAAGAACAAGTCTGCTCATTTTAGAGGTCAAAGTAGACCAGATGCTTCATAGCCTGCGTTTCTAAGCCTTAAGCATATTTTCTGAAATAATGCAAGAATCCATTAACAGAACTTACGGGATGACCTCAAGCTAAAATAGTTTACTACCTTGTTCATGAGATAAAAGAAGTCTATGACAGTAAAACTCTTTTATCTAGAAAATTTTCAAAGTCAGTACTCTGACCCAAAATAACAGGTAAAGGCTTGACAAGCTAAGAATTAAGCTCCTCAGCAAGAACCATAATTTCCCATGGTATTCATTCATTCAACCAACTTTTATGATGTGTACACTTGCTATGGTCCCATAGTCTAGGGACCATGTATACAGTGTGAAAAACTGACACAGTCCCTGCCCTCATGAAGTCTGTGGACAAATTGTGGACAAAAAACACTATACCAAGTAAGCAAGCATCTAGTTACAAATCATGATAAACTAAAGAAAACTGAGGTAAACGCACTTTAGGTTAAAGACAGCCTCCTTCAGAAGATGACATCTAACTAATGGAACAAACAATGAAAGGAGTCTTCCTGGTGATCCCAACCAAAGATGTTTGGTAGACGGACCCTGAGCAATTCCAACTCACTCTTCCAATCTCTCAGATTGCCTCCATCTCCAATCTATCCCTTCATTCTGAATGTTGTCTCTGCTCAAGCCAATCAAGATTTCACAGTATGGCCTCCTTGAACTAGAAACTACAACTGAGGGCCTCTCTCAGTACAGTACTGACAGTACCTGACAGTATTTACAGCACCTGTGCCTCCCAAAGACAGCAGAGGGCTGCCCAGGCAAAGCGGAAGTCCCAAGAGCCCCTCATGCAATCCCCCCCACGCTGCCACAGAAGATGAGTACAGGTGTTTCTCTGCCTCTAAATCAGAACCTCTGCCTTTCTACCATTTCAAAAGTGGCTCTTGTACAATTGCATGTGAATCTACAATTATCCCAGTAAAATTCTCAATAAAAAAAAAGCAACTTTCAGAGCCTCAAAGCCTCTCTATGAACAGTAATTAAATGGTTCACCTCCTTCCTTTCTCCAGTATCAGCTTTTTATATAGTAGAGGCATGAAGTCAGCATGCTGAAAGAGGGAGGAAGATGACAATAAAAGTAAGTTTTAAATGATCTTAAAAAAATTTTAATCACTGCATTCCCCTTAGAAAAGAATTTTTTTCTGAGAAGAGTTTAGGACTTAGATATAACTCGGAGCACGAGAGAACATACACTGCCTTTGGATCCAGAATATAATGGGTTGAAGCGGTCTCTGACGCTTACTGATTATGTGACACTGGGCAAGAGCAGTTTTCTCCTCTGCAAATGGAGTTAAGGCCACCAAGTACTAAGTGAGGCAACAGGAGTCTGATACTTGGCAAATAATAGCCAAGACAAACAAACACACCTTAGCTGCCTTCTCTCCTTCACGCCTAAAGGGGGATTTTAAAAAATAAAGGTAAGAGGGAAGATCCTACTGGTAAACTGAGAACATTATTACAAGCAGCTGACGGTTAAAAAATACCAGGTAATTCTCCATTAGCTTCAATGCCATATTACTAAGAGTCACTCATGAGAAGGGTGACTATGTGACCTAGCTTAAGAAATCCCAATTTTAAACACTCCGACATTCCAACTAACATCAGAATATCCCAGAAATTCATGTATTTCCATTTCCCAACGATATCTCCCAGACAACCCCACTATCTAGAAACAGCACAAAAATTGTTAACCAGACAATATATTCCACACATTTGACTCAAGAAAAAAAGTGATCACCATACTTACATGACGACAAAAGGGGCACTGAAAGCATGGACAGGTCAGGAAAACAAACCTACGCTGCTGGAAATTTTATGCCTACGTAGTATTTTTCAATATTCTATCTGAATAAATTCACATTTATGCAACAACATGGATACAACAGCCAAATGGATCAGAAAAAAACTATAAAGACCCAGATAAATCTCTGGGACCACATTCTGCAACCATCAGCTAGATCCAAAAAAAATGAGATTCAAACACCAAGCATACCTTCAAGTCTAACAGGCATCTGCACCAAAATAGTCAAATTTATTCATAAAATATATCCCACGTGGAGTCTGGAAGGCCCCTAAGAACGACTGTCCCTGCAGCAGAGCATCACCAAAAATCCTCTTGTAACCTATGCAGAACACCTCAGCAATAGCTAAGAAGCTGGCCAAATTCAAGCAGACATCAAAGCACAGAAGGGATGATCCTGTGGCAACAATGCTGGGATCTGAGTGCAAAATACCTTTCTATTCTACTGGATTTAAAATCACCGTCAAACTCTCCCTTTGGCAAACAACCAGAAAGGGCCAGTGACACTCAGTTTATAATGTAAACAAACCACCCACTTGGAACATTCTGAACCTTTTGGAAAGGGTACAGGATTGGGGGGAAAAAGAGAGAATGAATGAACGGATGGATGGATGGATGGTGGCTTCATTTTCCAAGTCGGCTTCACATTCTCATGTTCCCATTACCCACTGCCAGCAAATATCTCCCGGGTCCAGGAAAAAAGCCTTTCAGCATCTGCCTTTAATTTGGCCATTCTCCCCTCCCCCTCCCTTCCCCCCACCCCCGCCCTTTCCTCTTCTCCCCTCCTCCCAGCTCCCACCCCACAAGGAATAGGGAGGAACATACATACATATAGACAGAAAATGTTCCCTGCAAACAAATGGAGAAGAGATTAGAGAGGGAAGGGGATAGGATGCGGAGGTAAACCAGACAGGAGGAAAGGGCAGTTCACAGAATCAGGCACGAAGAGAACCCAAGATGGCTGCCCTTGAGCTCCAGCAGGCAGGGCTGTTTCTGATTAGGTGAGTACAATTGCAGAGCTGCACAGGAAGTGCTCAGGGGGCCCTTTTGGTCTGCCCTATCCCAAACACACTGAAAACCCTTTGTACTGTAGCAGACCCATCTGGAATCAGTTAGGACCAAGCTTCTAGCAGGCCTTCCCTTTAAAAACATAAAATGAAATGAAAACTCCCTAAAACCACTATGCTGAGCTTTCCCGCCTGCAACTTTCTCATCCCTTCCCCCCAAATCACCCTTCAGAGCACATTTCTCCATCTCCCATTCTGGGGTCACCTCAAACAAGAGTCTTAAAAGAACATAAAGCATTCAGAGAGCTAGCATGCTCCTGGGGCCCAGGAACCCCCAGAAAATTACAGCATTTGTGTGACTAAAATACCTCTTTACACAATTTTGGGATTTTTTAAGTGTTATTTTTAGAAATGCAAAGTGGCCTACTTTTTTCTGCATTAAATGAAGCATACCCTTTATGAAACTTTTTCATCTTGTAACATCAGAGTAGAAAGAGTAGAAAGAGAAACTTTGGGATAGCTCTCCTAGCATTCAAAAGGGAAAATGTTTTTTCCACTCACATTCCTAAATTGCCAATATTTGCTTCTGCAGGAATTCGATTTTTACTGATGCTTTCTATAAAAAAAAACAACAACAAAAAAACAAGACTTAAGACTTCTGTGGTAGTATGGTAAATGCCTAGACCTAAGATCCAGGAGACCAGGAGAACAGTCTTGATGGCCATGAAGTACCCATGTGGCTAGGAATAAACCACTTAACACCTTTCTGGGTCTGTTTTTTCACTGGCAAAACGTGGGGGTACAGCAGACTCCCTAAGATTATTTCCAGCACCACTACCTCCTCAAATTCCACAAAAATAAAGAGTGCATACACAACTAGCCACCAGCTTCACCTAGGAATCAGCACTTCAAAGGAATTTTCTTACTGCTCCCAAAGACCATACGGAAAGGAGTTAGGTATGTGGTGGCGGAGAATGGGCAGAGCCTGTCAGCTAAGTACACTTTATTTTTTTTTAAAGATTTTATTTATTTATTTGACAGAGAGACAGCAAGAGAAGGAACACAAGCAGGAGGAGTGGGAGAGGGAGAAGCAGGCTTCCCACTGAACAGCAAGCCCGATCTGGGGCTCGATCCCAGGACCCCGAGATCATGACCTGAGCCGAAGGCAGACACTTAACGACTGAGGTACCCAGGTGCCCCCAGCTGAGTACCCTTTATAAGCCACATGCCCTATGTTCGTATCACTTAGCGACAACATAACCAAGGCAGGGGATAAAACGTTTAAAGGCAAGTACCAGGCTAGTCATCTGGGCCCAGCAACCTAATCAGAGAAGTATAGCACAGAGACCTGGAGAATTCAGTTCACAAAGAAACCACTGAAATACAACTCTGTTCTTTGTGCTTAGAAGCTTATTTATTTAATTGATCTCAACAAATATTTATTGAATCTACCAAGAAGACCAGATTCTCTGGGGAATACAGAAAAAAAAAAAAAGAATTAGAAACTACCTATCTTCAGGAAAAGAATCATCTACTGGAGAGACACAGAGCTCTTAAAATATAATTTTAGTTCAGGACTTGATAACAATGTGGTAATTTTAAAGTACTATGAGATCCCTGACTGCTGCTTCCTCCGTGGGCCTCATTCTCTTATCTCTTATCTTCCTGCGTCTGTTAAGCTCTTAAAAGGGTTCTAATAAATCTGAAAATTATCAAAATTATTTCACCATGAAATTTAAAGGCTGGCATTATAAACTGCCTAAACTTATCACAGGGCTCATTAAATGTTTGATACTTTTTTTTTTAAGATTTTATTTATTTTTTGACAGAAACAGCGAGAGAGGGAACACAAACAGAGGGAGCAGGAGAGGGAGAAGCAGGCTTCCCGCTGAGCAGGGAGCCTGACATGGGGCTCGATCCCAGCACCCTGGGATCACGACCTGAGCCAAAGGCAGACGCTTAACGACTGAGCCACCCAGGCGCCCCTCAACACGTTTCTACCCACAGAGTGAGGGGCGGACGTACATACACCACCCCCCAGGCTGCAGCGGTCACCAGCGCCAGAGCACTGCAACCTGTCTCAACAGTTGTACCTATGGCAATCAGGGACAAATTCTTGACCCTAGGCTAGGTCCCAGGGATTAAGAACCAGCTGAGCAAGTAAAAGGTTCAGGATTAGAACTGCTATGTGTCCATTGCCTTGCCTTCAGCCACGCCCTCAGCCACAACCAGAATGGCAGGCATTACTGCAGACCACATGTAAGGTCTTGGGCAAGAGGTCGGACCATGCAATACCTGTCTTTATCGCAGGTCAAGGTGACTAATGTTTCCTTCATAACTAAAATTGGTCACCAACAGGGGTCTAGTTCTTAGAGAGTCTGTTTTGCCATTTCTGATCTGGGAGTGGAGAGAAAAACAGTCCTATGAAACTGAGACCACTTTTTTTAATCTCATATCCTAGTTAACCTGAAGGATGAGTGGGCTCCTTTTCCTGCGCCACTGCATATGGTGTCCCATTCTGGGTAAGCTCCCGAAAAACATAACCCTTCAGTGAGTTGAACCTCCCCCTTCCCTAAACTGGCAGGACTTCAAAGGCATTCAGAGAGAAGTAAGTGTCTCTGACATGGGACTCCAGAAACAGCAGGGTCACATTTCCTCCTGGAACGTGGAAAGCTGAACTGTAGGAGGTGCATCCCAGGAACCTGGCCCACCACTCCCTGAACACTAGCACATTTCAAATTAGGTACAGAGAACCTGGCAGCTCGGCTGACTCCCAAACCAGCTCTAAACAAAACTGGACTGGTCAGGATTCTTCGTGGCAAACAGCAGTAGAGAGGGCCAATCAAAACTCTCGGCCCTGCCAAAGAACTGCAGTTTTTTCCTTAAAGGGAAAATACTTCAAGGTACGGGTTCATGTGTGTGTAGCTGTGAGGAGAGAAAAGGAGGTTTTCGATTTTTGGAATTTCTGCCTTCAGTTAACTTAATTTCTGTAAATTCCGTCTTCCATATTTGTCCTCCTCTAGAACACCAGCATCACTGCAGGGTGTAATAAAAAGCAAGTGAGGACTCAGCAAAAAGCCAACCATAATCCAAACATAACATCTGACCAAAGGAGGCACAGTGTGCCTCCTCATCTTAGGAGAGAACTGGGATTCACCCTTCTTTACTGCTACCACTTGAGGGCAGTTTGGGGACTCCTCCCAAAGATTCTTCTCACCTCTCCCTACTGCCTCTTTCCCTTTCTCTGACCCTGTCTCCCCCGCCATTTGGAACTCGGAGTCCACCGCAGTGTGACAGCACACTGTATACTGATGCACAAGCATCTCAAGAGCAGAGACGTGGCCCAGTACACGGCAGGGCTGCACGAACGACTTGCAGCAATTCTATTCGTAAAGTTCTAATCCATCATAGAATGGTACTTTTATAAAACGCCATAAAATTAATTACTAGAAAAAACTGAAATTTTAAGAAACAAAGACATACAAAATACAAGCCCAAACTTGTTATCATTGGATTTGACACTCATAAAATTACTCTGTCAAATTGCTATAAAAGTTTCAGTGCTCACAATCAGTTTCTGTACCTATCTTGTAGTGAACTGGTAAGAAACCACTGGGGAAGAATGCTGGTCTACACAGGACACCATGATTAGCCCCAACATAGTGAAAAAACACCAAGCTTTGGTGCCACACAGGCCCAGGGATGAATCCCAGTTATGACTTTGAACAGGTTATTTAATTTCTCTGAATCTCAATTTCTGCATGTATAAAACAGGAATGTAATATCACCAAATACTTTGCAAAGTTATGGAAGGATCAGGAAAATGTAATGGCAAGGAGCCTAACACAGTGCCTGAATTAGAGCAGGAATCCAATAAAATAATAACTATTATTATCAGGTTTTTCCAGATATTTCCTTTCACCATTCTCTTTTAATCCAAAGGCAATTCTAATTCCAGTAAATCCTAACCTTGAGAGTATTTTCATAGCTAATTATAACAGCAAAAGCCAGATCTATGATCTCTCATTGTCTTTAGTATCCTTTCCCTTTGGGTGTCAGAAAGAACCAAACATTCTTGCTGTGCCAAAAATGCATTCCTATTTGATTTCTAGTGTTTTCTGTTTAACCCAAAATATATTCCAATTGGATTTAAAGTCAAACTCTTACCAATCACCAATTCTGCTGTCATTCCAGTTTTGTTATATTTTACTAAGTATTGAGAAAATACAAGAAGAGTATTTACAAATTATGTAGAAGACATGCAGAATAACAAAAACAGGTCACCCTAGCTTAGTCAGAATTCTAGCTTTTCCCCCTCCCTCTCATGTGCTGAGGCCCTTCTTCACAGCTGTTCTCAAAGATCTGAATTTAAGTCCCAGCTCTGCCACTTCACAACCCCCATAATCTTCAGAAAGTCACATCCCCTTGCAAAGCCTCTCTCTTTTCTGCCAAATGAACCCCTGGCTGGATCTCACCTAGGTTCAACACTTTCAACACAATCCACGTTAAAGCTCCCTGGCCCCTCTCATGCTCCTTACCTTTCTACTGTGAACAGTTCTAGCAGCCATTCTCCCACCCTGGAACTGGCTACATTGGACTCTCCCACCAAAGACTCCAGCCACCATCATCACCCCTCGTATTTCTCCATCAGTCCTTCCTTTCTTTTCTCAACAAGCACCCTCAGTCAGTCACTGGGAGGAGGCAATTAAGTCCACTGTATCCTCCAGGATCTCCAACTCCCCTCAAGCCTAGATTGATCCTCTTACCAAGATTACTCCTGGGTATTCACAGCATAAAGGCTATATGGAAAGCCCCAAAGAATCCAGTCCAATCTTTCTACATAACTATAAAGTTATATAAAGAAGCTGTATTTATAACTTAAAATGACAGAATGGGAAAAAATATTTGCAAACATGTAACTGATTAAGGACGAGAAACAAGAGTATATCAAGAACTCTCAAAACTCATTAAGACAACATACAACCCAAGACACCTGGGTGGCTCAGTCAGTTAAGCGTCTGCCTTTGCCTTGGGTCATGATCCCCTGGCTCTGCAGGGAGCCTGCCTCTTCCTCTCCCTCTGCCCCTCCCCCACTCATTCTCTTTCTCTCTCTCTCAAATAAATAAAATCTTTAAAAAAAAAAAAAAAGACAACAAACAACCCAATTTTTAAAATGAGCAAAAGGTTTAACAGACCCACCATCAGAGATATGGATGGCAAAAACTAATGATGTAATGTATGGTGATTAACATAACAATAAAAAATTATTTAAAAAATAAATAAATAAAAAGAGATATGGATGGCAAATATGCAAATGAAAAGATGCTCAACACCATTAATATTTAGGGAAATAATATACATATTTTTTTATTTGACAGAGAAAGACATAGCGAGAGCAGGAACACAAGCAGGGGGAATGGGAGAGGGAGAAGCAGGCTTCCCGCCGAGCAGGGAGCCCAGTGCAGGGCTCGATCCCAGGACCCTGGGATCATGACCTGAGCCAAAGGCAGATGCTTAACGACTGAGCCACCCAGGTGCCCTAGGGAAATAATATTTAAAACCACAAAGAGATGCCATTACATACCTATGAGAAGGATTCAACATTTTTTTTAATTAATACCAGATAATGGAAAGGATGTGGAGCAACTAGAACTACTTCATACGTTCAATGCTGATGGGAATGCAAAAATGGTAAGCCACTTTGGAAAACAGTTTGGCAGTTTCTTAAACATGCTTAAGATATGACAGCAACCCTACTCGTGGGTATTTACCCAAAAGAAATGAAGACACATGCCCATACACATGAAGGAAGGAAGGAAGGAAGGAAGGAAGGAAGGAAGGAAGGAAGGAAGGAAGGAA